GCATCTGGGTGTATTGATTTCACACACCTGTTGTATGGTTTGTTTTATTACATTGCAAGAAATATTTGAAAACTTAAGAAGAACTTTTCAAAGATTAATTTAGATTGATATATGGTAATATAAAAAAAATAACTAAAAACCCCTTAAATATTTTTCACACACACATACCATCATTATAAGAAGCCTATTTTTTGGTTTGCTGACCCAAGCTGTTCTAATGAGCCACAAACAGGCAAAATTACAGTCCAAGGCAGAAGGTCCAGTGAATCAAAGAATACATTAGCCCTCTATGTCACAAATTATATTTTCAATTTTTTGTTGAAAAGACTGTAATATTAACATCAAACAGTTGGTCATATGTATAACATAAAATAAATTAAGCATAATGCTATAATATTGTTCACACACTTAAATTGATTTAGTTAACTATATGGTGAGTTAAAAAAAAATCAAAACCCCATGAAAATTATGTAGCTTTTTAAATAATTTATCAAATTTTTATATATGATATTGTTTGCGGTATTTTTTTTTAATGAACAGAAATGCAGATTTTAATAACTGATTTCTTTGTCTTTTAAAATTCTTTTAACACTTTCCATTAGTTTTAGTGTATAAAACTGTAAATTTTTTATTTGTTTTGATTCAAAAGTATGAAATGGCATATAGTTTTACTGTGCTTATGATCAGTAGCATACAAGAAAAATGATTTTCTTACTCTACAAAAATTGCAACGAATTGTCTGTTTTAAATTGTTGACTAAAAGGTTTCATTTAATATATGTAATAAGTTTAACATTATGAGTAAAGCTTTATTTAAGATGCTTTAATAATAAAAGTACAGAGTATTTTTTGATCTGTAATTCTGCTGTTTTGTTCTAGAATCAGGTCATCAGTCAGAACAAATTACTTCTACAAAAACAAATAAAGAAGCACTTGAGGATACCTCAAAATGTGAAACCATCATTTTAAAGAAGTTGGTTGGAAAGATCAACAATAATGCTGAAGGTGAAACGGAAGGAAATATCATCTCAGAAAAAACAGTAAGCTTTTTGTTGTATGACTAAGAAACCAATGATTATGAAATAAAAATAAGAAATAAAATTTCATGATTAATTAAACTATGATTTTGTACAAGTAAAATGCATTATTAAATGTATTTGTTTTTAAAAAGCCATTTCTTACATTTAATATTTTGTTGTCAAAATGATTAGAAATATGGATCTGAAATACATACTTCAGACATTAATTTCTGAGAGATGGACATTGTTACTTTCTTTTTTAAAAAATGTATGTGTGTTGTCTGGAACAATAAAAGTTACAAGACTTCTATTATATAGTCTATGAGCAGTTTATCATAGGAGCTCTAAAATTTATTTCTGTTGGACACCCATGTTAGAAAAGGTTTGATGTGTTCTGATATTTGGAATATATCTGAGGAATAAGAAAACTAAGTTGTAATTATGGTTCAGTCGTGTGGATAAAGCTAGGGCCTTTAGACTTTTGGAGATAAATCATCTTAAAAAACTACAGTTGTATTTGATTTTCTTGGCAATATTTAGAGCAGATGCTCTTTTTCAAGCCAGAAACAAATCTGTCGGTTAATGACAACATACACATACAACAGTTTAAAGGAACCATGCCCCTTTCTTTCAAAATTAAGGGGATAACCTTCAGACATACTGAAAAGTGTTACTAAGGGTGTATATTTAGTTGATGGAATAGGATTTTGTTAGTACTGTTTTGCTAATTGCTTCCACATTAAAATTATTTTTATAATTCAACAACACTTTTTAAACTTATGGAGTGAAATCTTAAGTAATCTGCATAGGTACGGCACATTGCATCTATGTAAATTAGCTGTGCTTAACCCAGAACATCATGCTTGGGTGCATCACTAGTTTATTGATATTAACATCATGTGAAGTAGTTCTATAGGGTTATGCTAGTTATTACTTGTCAATAATGTAAATTATGCGATAAGTACTGTTATCCTTATTTACTTTCTTCTATGAGTAGATTTCCAGTAATGAACCCTTTTTTTTTGGATCCAATAGAAATCCATGTTAGTTGCCCTTGAAATGATTGTAGTCACATCTATTACTTAAGGCATGTGCATCAGAAAAAAAAGAATATAGGCTTATTTGAGGAACTTACATTTCACAGATTTGACAGGCGTGCCACTGAGTCTGTAATATACTGTTTTAAAGAGAAAACGCTTAAATGCTCACATTCTCAGCTCAGCATTCTGCTATATACATTACATATGCTCTAACTCTAATTTTTGTGATAAATTTTGGAAAAGTTTTATCATTTTGAGAGGATGTATAAAGAAGCTTAATTTGTACCACTGATCCACAACCACAGAAGTGGCTTTTGACTTTACATAAATGTCCCTTTAAGAAAATGACCTGAAGCCTTTTCTAACAAGGGTGATCAACAGAATGTAATTCTTGGAAAAGAATACTGGAAAGAAATCCGCCGTAAACATAAATTATATTGATGCATTGTTTTGTGAACAGATAATTATCCATTTCCCAGTTAGTACAAGCTTCATTCCAACGGGAAAGATAATGATTAGCTTTGATGAATTTGTATCAGTTTTTGTCGCATAGCTAGAAATCCAGAAAAATTGTGATGGTTAGGGAAAATTGTCTATTTTCTTTGGTGCGATATTTCATTAAATAAAAATTATTTGTTTGTTTGTAATTAAGCACAAAGCTACACAATGGGCTATCTGTGCTCTGCCCACCACGGGTATCGAAACCCGGATTCTAGCGTTGTAAGTCCGCAGACATACCGCTGTGCCACTGGGGGGCTAAAAATTATTTAGTGCATTTTCGTATAAAAAAGTAGTGTTAAGTGTCATCGACAGTTAACATAAAAAAAAAAGGAAAACCCGGGTAAGTACATTATTTCTTTTTTTCATGTTTACTCTTTCTTTATTATTATAAAAGTAACTAAACTGTAAAATTAAGGGTCTCTTTAGGTTAGTTAAAGTTAGATTAGGTAAAATAAATAATAATAAGAAATGTTTCACAAGGCACACATGATTTGCACATTCCCCAAGTGATTTACAACTTATAATGATGCAAATAGTAGTTAGACACGGTTCAAAGGGCAATAAAATTTAAGTATAAATAGATGTATACTGTTAAGAGTTTAAAGCTACTTAGGATAAATGAACGTAGTTTTATATGACAATTTGAAGTCATTCTAGAAAGAAAAAAGGGTAATTTAGATTTAATTAGATTTTTATTAATTTTTTATACTTATGAGGTCAGCCAATTTGACCAACCACGTATAGAGTTAGGGTAGAGAAAATAACAGATAAAGTACAAAGTTTTATTGAAAACGTATATAGGAGGTTTTAGAGATTACACAAATGATATTTGAGATTTTGGGGATGAAGAAGTTTTTTTTTTAATCATAACATAAAAATCACTTTGCATTTAGACTAGTAACAAAATAGACTCTATGTTTATAAACAAATCTTAAGTAAAGTTTCTTCATTAAAAAAATCTGATTTTGTGTGTGCAAAATACTTGTAATGTTTACTAAAAGTCTACCAAATTTTATGAAGATACACACTTTATTAAAAGTTATAAGTACTTAACATGTGCAAATATGTATACGAATTCTTGTATTTATATCAAGCCCGTTGCAAAAGGGTTAATAAATTAACAAGTACTACTGGTCATCCACCTCTAGTGATTGTAACCATAAAGCAAACACAAAACTCCCATAACATCATATAACATACCGTAGAGGTAGATATATTTTAAAGCACATGTTAGTGAACTTGAATAAATCAGGTTTAAAAAGAGTAAATATTTTAATAACTAATAAAAAAAATTTGTAGTTATTTTCTTTTCAAACAAATGTCAGCTGTTTGGAGAAAGAAACATGACAATGCAAGATTTATACAAAAGATTTGGTGTCTTAAAGAAATTGAGAAAAATGTATTAGTCTTTTTAATCATGTCACTTTATCTGTTTGAAGATGAATTACTTTGAGAAATGGTTCTTTTTAATCTATATAAATATAATAATACTGTCTGTTGACTGTCCATGTAACTACTTTGCAGGGTGTGGATGGATTTTCACCAAAATTGGTATGGAGGCTCATTAGATCCATGTGGGGGGTACATACAAATTTTCAGTTTTGCAGGTTTTATGGGCATTTTTTGCAGTTTTTACCACTACTTTGCCCTCAGTAGACAGTTCTTCACAAAATTGGGTCCATGGGGAGATGCATACAGATTTTCAGTTTTGCAATTTTATGGTCATTTTTGCATTTTTTACCACTACTTTGCTCCCTGTTGATGGATCTTCACCAAATTTGGTATGAAGGTTTGTTGGGTCCATACAGAGATACATGCAAACTTAAAGTTTCACGTTTTGTGTTTTGCCGTTTTCATGGGCATTTTTGCATTTTTACAATTACATATAAGAGAAGCAACTTTTCGTGTCTTAAGATAACCTTTCATTAATCATGAATTTACATAACTTTCATCTAGAGGACGGGTACTCCAGCTAGTATATATATTATTTTTGCTTGGTTAGGTACACCAATTATACAGGGAAATCTTCACAATTTTTTACTTTATCAACATCATTTTTCATGGTTTTATTTTGTATTTTCTGTTGAATAAATATGTGTGATTGATTGGGTTTTAAGCTATGTTTATTGACTTACATTTTATTATTAAAACGTCTATGAATTACATTAAATTAAGAATTAAGAACTTATTATTTATAGATGTGTATGAGACTTTAATAGATACATTAGTTATTATCACAGCCCATTATGTACAGTTTTTGTAAAAGGAAATAAAGTTACTATGAGGAATCATCTGTAAAGTTGTACTACTTGAGATATTATTTGATTCTAAATATATTTATTAATTTTTGATAAATGATGTTAATAAATATATAAAAATTTTATTTAAAGAAAAATTCAATTATGAAAAAGTGGCAATTTTGACCATTAACAAACTTCTACTCAAAAATAAATTAAGAGAAAAATTACTGTGTAATACTTAGCTTTTTTTTGCAATGTAAGTGTAAGAGTAATATACTTTATGTGTTAGTAGTATTATATGATACTTGTTTTCATTTTTATTTGTTACACACACTTCAACTGAAACTTCATGTAATAGTTACTTTACAGATTAAGAATTATAAAAGTTTTTTGGGCAGGGTTCATAACTGTATTATAAAATTTAATTTATGATTTAAAACTCTTAGGGCAAGCAAATGGCAGTCCAGGCAGAAAATTGGGAAAAAATTCCACCCAAGGATCTAAATGGTAATGATTACTCTTGCACATACATGTGCACTAATGTGATTAAAAGCTTTATGTGCTTTTACAGTCAATGATAAACAAAGGTGATGATTTTATTTCTATCTATTATTTGTAAAAGATAGTTTCATAAAATTTAATGTCCACTGTAAGCAAAGGACAGAATTACATGTAAATTTACCATAAATTAAAAAAAAAGTGCATTTTGAGAAGCATTTACTTGTATTACCTAGAGTATATTGTTGCATTATTAAAGTAAGTTTCTGACATTTTGTTATTTTTGTACTCTGTATTTCAACATTCATGGGGAAAGTATACAAAATACTTGAACACAATGAAATGTGCTTACTAGTTTAATATTTTTAAAATCATTCATTTACATGATGTCACTTCAGAGATCTCAACAGTATAAAAAAGAAATAATGCACTGTGTGTACTTACGTTTTACTTGTTTTTACTGGTTTGAAACACTTTTTGGTAAAACATGAAAATTGTGTATGTTGTGATACTGATATTAAGTTTCGTTTTTAGAATACACTTTACAAATATTTATACTGATGAATGAACTTTCTGATGACAAATACATTTTAGAATTACAATTCTTGGTTGTAAGAAAAAAAGTATAACGTAAATTTGGTGTTGTTTCCTGACTACCTCTCGTCATTATATCTGCAAAAAACAAAATTTAAAACATTCTTAGGGTTTGAGAACTTCAAGTGTTAATAAGTATAATATTAATATGTTTTATACTTATAAATATACAGATGAATTGTGAAGTTACAAATTGTTAAGTTGTTTGTTTTTTTATAGCTAAACTAAGTTTCTGTAATTAAATTAAACTAAAGTTTATAATTATTTTGCTTATTTGTAGTTTTTGATTTTTTTCTATACATACTGCTTTAGGATGATTAACATCTTAAATGCAGCACAGATAAAGGTTTTTTAATGGTTCCTTAATTCTCCCATTCTACCACAAGAAGCAAAGGTATAAACTATAATTACTTATCAAGCCATCAATAAAATTGATTTTTGTTCTTAGTGATAGTGATTGGATTTGCTATCTTGCTGTTATAGATATATTTCTTATTTGCTCTTTTGTTTTATATAGATAGTGTATTTATTGTGTGTTATAGAGCCTGTGCTAATAACATATGAAAAGAAACCTACAAAGGATCAAATTCAACTAGCAGAGAAATTGAAACTACCTCCAACTTTTTTTATGTATGAAGACAAGCCACCCTGCCCAGGATGTAGAGGGTGTATTGATAATGGTAAACACTCTGTCTTGTTTTTACTTTTTCACTTAAACTCAGATGTGAATACGGATTTTCATAAAATCCCAAAAGCTATATTTAAACATATGAACAAATCTTGTATGAATTTTATAAAGACATATATTTATGTATTTTCCATAAATTGATTTCTATTCAAAAAAAGTTAACAGTATTTTCCCAATTTATATAACAGTGTATTGATGTATATATTCTATGTTGTTGTAAGTATTAGCAATATCTTATGTTATAAGGTATATATTGTGTTAAATAATTCATAACTAATTAAACTGTGAAACTAGACAAAGATTGACCAAAATCTAGACAATTTCTATTGATTTCAAGCAAGGTTGTTTGCATACTCCAGTTACAAACTGAACCTTCTGTGCAAACATATGGTAATTAATTTTTTTTTCATATCTCACATGCAGAATTTGAACCTGAAACCATTCATGCTGTTGAGCTAGATGATTAATCCACTAGCATTTACTAGTCAGGCAAATTTTAGCTCAAACTATTGCATTCTTCTCTCCTCACACACAAGTTCTGTCCAAGTCTTATCTCAGGGTTTTGGTACAACCATAATGTCGGGCCCTAGTTTTTGTTTGTTTTTTCATTCTTTTTTTGGTATTCTGAATTTTGCGTCTCCCAGGCTCGGAATCAAACCTGGGTCCTTCTAGATACCAGGAGAGTACTCTTCCAGTGGAGCTATAGGGTTAACTTATGAGTTTTCACCAGTTAAACATTTTGTAGCAAACTACTACACATGCTGTAATTTTGTGTTTTGATGGTATAATACAAACATGGAATGCTTTCACTTTCATTTAGTTTATGTGTGGTGAGGTCTCAGATGTGTTTGTGGGAACTCGGAGATTAACTTTGGGTTTATAATCAACTTTGATTATGTCCTTAAAGCTTTTTGTATGTTTCTGAGCTGAAAATACATGTGACTCACCTATGAAAAGTTCAAACTCAGAAATTCTGTGTGAAATGTTAATGGTCATAAAACAGTATAATAGTACCTTATTAAAAGTTGGGTAATATATTGAATTGACTTTCAAATACTGAATTGTGATATAGTTTCTAGAAATCCACTTTATCTGACTCAAAAGTTTTGTCTAGTGGTTGCTGTAGTTGATATGTTATTAATAGTTATGATATTTTATCATATACAGTCAACATTTCTTAGAAGTAGAGAAGATAATTGATTTAGAATAGAAAGCTATGTAGTAGTTAGGTTTCAAATTTTGCTATGAGCTATGTTTATATTAGTTAAATTGTTTATAACTAAATTAGACACATGCTGCTGTAGGAAGTATAATCAATTAAGCACAATATACAGCCATATATACCATTATTGCAAATTTTAAAGTTGTTTATGACATTTTTATTTATTGAGTGAGTATTGTTTACAGTGGTTATATGATTCAGTCATAATTCCTCAAAGATGAATCTTGGTTTGTAATGGTAAGTTTTATGTCAGCTGAGTATTTCTTCAAGTTTTCCAAATACCAGGCAAACATGAAAAAGTTTTAATCAACTGTACTAAACAGATTTTTTTTTCTCCAAAGTTTCTTTTATATGAACAAAATTTTACTTTGTTTGTGTGTGTATGTGACTGTATGAAGTATATTGTATACTTGGGTATTCATACGAATCTCTTGCTAAAGCATATGGTTTGATAGAGCGGTATAGGGAGTTGTCTAGTGCTAAAATTAGAAATTGTGAAAGTTGAACATGTTTTTCTTTCATCATCTTACTATTAATGTCTATTATGGGAAGAGTAAGTTAAAAACAACTTTATATTTCTGCACAACAAATTATAATTTTTTTCATCGGTCTTACATTGTTTTTTAAAATCTGAATTATTCTTTCTGGCTTTAGAAAGTCTAGGGGAAGCTGGTGCACTTCAGTGTGCTATAAAGTCAAGTGCAGTTACTACTGAATCTTCTATCACCTCTTCTAGTATTAGTGATGTAAAACTAGACTTAACAGTTTCTTCTGAAAGTAAAGGTGAATGTATAACAGACACTTCAAGAGCAGCTACATCACCTTGCCAGACGATAAGTACTTCCTTAAGCACTGATTCATCTGTTTTTGGTGCTAATTTGGATACATCTAACTTCTCATTTGAAGCCTTAGCAGCACGGTCTTCTACATTTAACAGTACTGCTGGATCATCTCCCATGAAAAGTAAAGAAAACTCTTTTGTGTTTGCTGGAGCTGGGAAACCACTTTTTGGTGGTGTAAAATGTCAGGATCCTGTAGCTGGGAGTGAACAAGGTAAGTAGGAGCAAGATTTGTATATACTAAATAAATTATTATTAGTCAGCTTTAGATATGCTATTAGTTAGTAAGATTAAAATGCTGAAGAGGAGAATTACTGTTTCCTACTAAGATATTTCTTGTTAGTGTTTCTTTTGGGAGTTTTGCATTTCTACTGTACTTACAGTGAGCATTATTTTTGACTGATGCATTTCAGTCTGACTAAACTTCCTGTTTCTTGATGTAATGACCTGAAGAACCTCAATTCAGTAGTACAACATTGTTACATTATAGTAGTCATAAGTTAACTTGAAAAATATTTTGGGCTTAGCAAGACATACTCTAATTTCAACTTTTTTTAATCAACCCTACCTTGGTGTCACATGGATTTTTTATAGCTTATGAACAGAAATTAATAGCTTTTAATCACTGTGTTCATAATCTTACCCTGAAAGTCTAACAAGAGGGCAAACATTTTCTAACAGTTGTCTGAGAGTATTAGATAATATTATGATTATTCAAGTCTCAGAAAACCTTAGATAATTCTCTGAATCTACTTTATCCCGTAAAGATAGAAAACAATACGTACTTGATAAACAGGGCACTTTCTGTTTCCCAGAAAACATTTTATATTCATGTAGAAGAAATGTCAACTTTATAAGTGGGCTCTTAATTATTGGGATGCTTTAATTATGACTTGGTTGCTGCTTTGTTTCCATGTGTTTTAAAAGTACTATGCAACAACTGTGGAAATGTTGTTTATAACAAATGCATTACATGTAATATGGTAATTAAAAGTACATCACAGCTTGAAGAATATAAAGTTTATAACACAGTCATAAGTAAGCAAAAACAACAGACTGAATACCTCTGATAGTTTGTAAGCCTGAAACAATAACATTGTTTATATATGAATTATTCCATTTTTACATATATATATATGTTATTTCAGTGGATTGTCATTGCTTATTAGGTATCCTTAGATCTCATTAGAATGGTACTTTAGAGTTATTCTTTTTTTTTCCACATAATACAAGCTTATACTCACTCGACTCTTCAATGGTCTTTTCTTTTTAGCAATGAAGATGTTGTGTTTAAATCTAGTATTGTACACAGTCACATTAAACAGCATTGTAATACATTAGTAGGTTAAAAAATATAAAAAAATTAAATCTTCTTTTTTTATACTTAAAAGTAACTTGAAAATGATGAATTCATACTGTTATTCAATATAGGTATAGGATATCAAAAAATGAAATAATGAACCTAACTTTTTGAGTTCATTTCCTAAAACAGCCTGATACAGAAGAAATTAATATTTTCTTGGCCTTTGATTTTTTTTCTTCTCATGTTGGAAATACTTAACCAAATTGCTTGAAACTTAGGTTGAACTTACTAAACAGTCAAAATCAATTTATATCTAATAAATACACTTTATTTTCAATGATTTATTAGTGATGTGCATATTTTTTACTTTGAGAAACTTAAAAATAATATTTACCAAATAGAGGTTTGAATAACAGTAATATTTTGTCTTCACTACCATACTTGTTACATATTACAATTTCAAATAGCCTAAAACTGAGTTAAATTGTACTTTGGATTTAATAGTTACATAAATGCCAATATGTATCCAATTTATATTTGCCAACAAAATTGATACACACAATTTTCTTTTTTAATACAGATATGTTTTAATATGCAAACAACAATACAACTTACAATAACAGTTATTGCAAATAGTTATTACAAACAATATAAAGTCTTCTTTCTGGTCTGGAACTTTCTTGATATCTTATTGAGGTTTCACAATGAGTGAGTTAATTTTGAGTTGATGTAGGTACAATTCACTTAATAGGGAGCTAGCTACCTCTGTGGTCTTCACTGATCACACGCCAATTTTTATTTTCACCAATGAAGTTAGATAAAGTTTTCCTAAAAGTACTAATGTCCGATGTGAATTTACTGAAGTTGAATGATTTGTAATGTTCAAAATTTATAAACATTGCTGGTCAATATATCTGAAGTTCCCAATTAATAAGCAATAATCACAATTATAGCTTACGAAGTTTATAGTACACCAATTACAGCAAATCAATAATAGATACTGTTTCTTGGCACGTTACGTTGGTTATATTTATAGGCGTGTAGAGAGTTTCTCTAAAATTCAGATTATGTAACAATACAAAGCTATATTAGCATTTATGTACACACACACATTGTTGATTCTTACCCTCAAGAATCTTCTACAACTTTAGAGAATAGGCCAGAGTTTCGCAATACATATTTAACAGTATACGTTATGTACATTTCTAAATATAAATTTAATTTAAACAAACATCAGTATTAAAATGAATATAGAATAATAAATCTGTCACATACTCTACAAACCTAATAAGGCTTACTTGATGTCTTGTTATAGAAGAAAATTCTAATAGCTTTCAAACAAATATAATTCACTAATCTGTGGTTGATTTCTAATTCATCTAAACTTTCCATTAGATACCATTGTTCTCTGTGTGAACTAGTTCTTTTCCATGTAATCATAAGTTACTTCTCATACCACTTCATTCACTCTACATTGACATAAATAGTTTATAACCTGCTCTATACAATGGTATTTAAACTTTGCTTTTGCTTTTTTCAAAGCAGGGGATCATTATTATTTTTTCGGATCACATACTGGGAGATCATTAAAGGGTGGGAATGTAGGCTGTACCTTATAAAATGTGTGAAAGAGAAAGAAAATGATGGAAGAAACAAAACATTAATAACAATTTTGGCAAGGGATGATAATTTCTTAGCAAATATAAACTTATTCTTTGGGATGGGCTAAATATTTTTTGCATATCCCTCAGGAGCCAAGGGGTGTTTTTAAACTACAATTTCTTGAATATCAAAAGTAAGTTCAATCCAGAAACTCCCAAAGAGGGTGGTTTTGAACATATCTTTTCTAGACAAGGTTTTGTTTGTTAATTGATAAATATTTAAGTGAAATACAGCATCCTCAAGTCTCCATACTAGCTTGTACTGAGGTCTACCCACTGGGAGCAAATTCAGTATATATCAATTAAGCCACATTCTCAGCATCATTAATTAAGCAGTTGCCAACCTTTTATGCTTCTGCTATCACCTTTGTATGTTTAGCTTTCAACTGAGATATGAATGATTTCATTTTCAATTCAGTAGGGAAGGATCGAAGCATCACGATGAACACACAGGAACACTTTGAAAGCAGCTACAGGCAAAAAATTTTACTCGGCTTGCTTCACAGTATCTACCAAGGTGGTTCTTAATGGTTCCTGAATACCTCTGCATGTCATTTAGAGACTTCGATGTTTCTTGTACTTGGCCATTAAGCTCATGATGCACTGACAGATTTCAGTCACCTTACCACTTCAAATCACTTTTTGCAGCCCCAATGCTAAAAGAGTGTGGGAAATGCCTTATTTTTAGTCTATAAACATGCCAAAAAAATTTCATTTCAAATTAAGAAAAACCAGATTGGTTAGTTTGTTTTTTTTCAACAAAATGTCCCCCCACTGGCTTGTGTGGGAGTCTGTTAAAAAAAACTTAAGCACATTGTTTACAAGAATCTCTTTGGAGATCTGCAGAAATGTAAGATTGAACATTTTTTACTTTTTTCTTTGCAAATAAATGTAGCAGAATGAAAGAATATATTTATTTTAAATATTTTTGAGTAAAAACTTGTTGAAAAAGTATTATTTGTACTTACATTTTGAAATTTGATATAAGGTGTGATTCTTACCTGAAAGGTGCTTGCTGATTTGGAAATGTTGAAAGATTAATGAATTGACTATGGTCAAGGCTCATTCATGAACAACTCGTGTTGGGAGAATCTAACAAGGTTTTCTAAATTATTAAAAAATACTTATGACAATTACATTTCATTTTGTAGTACAATAGAAAATATTTTATTACCTGTACAGGTTGTTATCCTTTAACATAATGTTACCTAAAATAAATTCATACATATTTGAGTGTATTGACGTGTATGTAGATCTATCACTAGAGTAACCGAAAGTAGAGCAATTTTTACAGATTATTTATGGCTTGAAATCTAATTTGTGTAAGTTTTTATTTTTTGAAATTTATAATATGAGAAATTTCACAATAAAGATATTTGCATTATTTTCATTTAAACTGAAACAATTTACACATTGGTGTTTCACATTTATGTTTTCTAAGTAAAATTTCCATGAATTTTGCTATAGCAAAGTGCTTTTAAGATTGCAATATTTCTTATTTGTTGTATCATATGTGATTTTCAGTTTATAACAGCAAATGGCTTGTGGGTACAAAGCATTTTATATTTTAGTATGTTGAAAAATTATATAAAATTAATTTTAATTTTATCTGTAATTCACTAGTGAAATTAATATTAAATTCATGTTGTTAACTGTCAACTACATTGTGATGTAACAAGTTCTCACACAGTTTTGATTTTAATAATTGTTCCCTTAAAATGTTATTGAAAATTTGAATCTCTTTGTAACACATTCTTTGTTTCCCCTTCAGATGATACACAGGTTGTGCCAAGTCAAGAAATTCATTTTGAGCCTGTGATCCCACTTCCTGAATTAGTGGAAACCAAAACTGGGGAAGAAGAAGAGTTGCCAGTGTTCTGCCACCGAGCTAAGCTTTACAGATTTGACAAAAATGTCCAGCAGTGGAAGGAGAGGGGTGTGGGAGATTTCAAAATACTTAAACACAAAAATCAGTGTAAGTAGGCTTGGGTATACACTAAGAATGTATGTGTTTGCACTGTTGTGCAAAAAAAAGAAAATTGTTTTGAAAATGTTTTTCTTGGAAATGTTGCTAAAATGGTGTTGCATCACTGAATATCTAAATAAAAGTTATGAGATAAAGTGTTTACTATTTGAAAGCTCACGGTGGGTCCATTGATTATCTTAGCTAATTTTGAATCATATATGTGAATATTTTTGTATACGATTATTTTGTTAGTCCTAAGTGTTTGGTGGTGTTTGAAATGCATTATTCTAGTGTCTTGCACTTGAGCTTTAATCTCTTTATTGAGTTTGATATATCTTCTTTCAGGTCGATTTCGACTTCTCTTACGTCGACAACAGGTCCACAAAATAGCCTGTAATCACTATATTACTGCTGATATGAAGTTGAAACCCATGCCCACTACTGAAAATGCAGTTTGCTGGACAGCTGTAGATTTTGCAGAAGAACAACCAGTGTCAGAATTTTTAGCTGTTCGATTTAAGGTAAAGCAGAGTAAAAAAAAAATGAAATTTTAACACAACAAATTACAGATTTAGCTGGAAAATAAAGAAATATTGTTCTGGTTAAATATTGAAACATAGTTTACATACACTCATTCAGTTCAAATACAGTCATTGCAATTGAATATAATTGTTTAAATAGACTTAACAATGTGATTGTGTTTATTTCTAGACAAAAGAGTTAGTAGAAGAGTTCAAGGAAAAGTTTGAAGAATGTAGAAAAGCTGTTGAAATAAAAGCAAGTGATAAAGAAGAGTCTGTGTCAGGTCAGTATTAAATTGTATCTTAAGATGCCTTGTAAATTCTGTTTAATGTATTATATTAAGGAGGCCAATTCTTGTGGGTAAATGCAACACATCTCTACCATGCAATTCCAACATGGTCAATTTTGACACAGAAAAATTGAAAACTGTCTGCATCACTGCATGGGACATGTAAAAAGTTATCTTTTTACCATATCCCATGTAAATTTGTTAAAATATGACTCATTAATTGACCAGAAACCCCCAAATTATTCTTTTTTGTGAGCTCTGACACCCTAAAATGACTCAAAATTAATAAATCAAATTTGCTTTTGTATGCTAGTGTGTTGGGTCCATGACGATTTATATTTATGTCAATTTTCACCTTGATTGCTGTAAATATATACAGGAGCCCAAAATATAAATGTTTGGGTTGTTTCACCTTTCTCCCCATAAAATCCTTGAAAAAGGCCTAAACCATAAAATGAAAAATGTGTCTTGGCATATTGGACCAAGCTATAACACCATCAAGTTTCAAGTCAATCCACTTAGAAATGAAAGAATGGCAGTTGATTGAAAGACATTTGGAAGAAGAAGAAACAATAAAAAACACTGTCTCTCTGCAGAGACATAGTTAATATAAACAAAGAGTATTATGTGGGTAGCAACAAGATGTTAATCTTGCACCATTTAAAATTTGCTGTAGTTTACATTGTGAATATATAAAAACATTTTGTTATAACTCTAAATTTTAAAAGTCTTGCACCCTATTGTTGTAGAAGTAACATTCCAAAGTGCTAAAAATTCTATGATTTAATATAATGTTGTACCATTGCAAAGTTTGCTATGAATTTGTAACTTGAAAGTGAAGTATAGATGTGTTTAATATAAGTTACAAAAATGTATGGAATTAGCTAAATTAACTATTAAAGGTTAAGTTGAAGTAGCAATAAATTCTTAAGATAAAGTTTGAATTTTATTTAAAAAATTTAAAATGTAAATGATAAAGTTTCTATAAAACATAATGAAAAATGTTATTTATATGTTAGTTACTACCCATCCACTATTTCCTGTCTTGTTTACAAGATTAGGTTAGTTCATGATTTAAAATCTAACTGGTATGATGTTTTCTACCACATTACTCTCATGACTGTTATTGATTTCGATTCATTTTCTTTCTGCTAAAAGGCACTGCCATAGCATACAAAAATCTTTCCTGCAATGCTATTTTCATGATATAAAAGACTGTTTCGCTTAGATAGTATTGATTAATTTAGTTTTGTGAGTGAATATTTTATTATTGTTTAGTTTTGGTTATAATAAGAGTTAAAATCAGATGATTGTAGGAAGTTTTTGTTAATAATTCATTGATGTTGAGAATATCGAATGTCATGTGCAATATACTGACGTCAAGAATATATAAAATGGCTTTTACTTATACTTCTTAGTAGTATAAATATATACTGTGTTGTTGTTGGGCTTAGGATTCTTGTGCAGTAGATGTCTGCAACTTTTTGATGATAAATTCAATGATCAATGAACAGCATGCACTTCACTTGTTTTCAAAATAATATATATATTCGGAAGAAGTTAAATGTATTTACAACAAATTCTTCAAACTATACAGATTATAGGCATATCATATATAGTTCTCTTCTTATCAAAAGCATACTTAGGCTTATTAAACTTAGAATTTCTGTTCACAAGCTGAACAATGTTCTCTATTACTATCGCACTAGTTTTCTGTGTGGGATTCACTTACAATTGTGGTGCAAGTTAACGTAATCTGTTCCTTTTGTCAAGGTGCACTCAGGCTGATTCAATTACTTTAGAACCACGCTTTGACGGAATAAATTATTATTCTTTCTCCTTTTCTAATGTTAGTCTTACTCTAACATATTAAACATTAGGCCTGTCACTTCTATGGTAGTTAACTTCACGCCAGACTTTTCCTTGTCCTTAACTTTATTCTCTTCTGCTTTAGTCTGTTTGCTGTTTCAGTTCATCTCACACTATTTATATGTTTATCACTTAATCTTCTGTCCACCTAGAAATCTCTATTCTCAATGTCAATGTATTGCATGCGACATTCAATAATCTTAACATCAATGACTTATAAATACAACTTCCTGCAATCATTTGCTTTTAACTCTTATTATAACAAAAACTAAACAATAATAAAATAGTCACTCACAAAAATAAATTAATTGATAATATCTAAACTAAATAATCTTTTATATTATGACAGTGATGATTTGTCCACTTCAGCTTGTCTGTTGATTAGTGTGCAGAACATGAGCATAGACGTAGTATTGGCAGGATTTATAACAATTTCTGTCTCTGAATCATTTTCTCACCCTACTAAGGGACAGTTGCATCTTGCTTTGGATTTCAACTTTTCTAGAGCCTCCACTGTATACCAGTTTTATCAGCAAAAGTTAACTATAATGTTTTAATTTATAAAACTAAATTTTATCTTTATTTTGATTTGAAAAACACACAGTTTCACTGTATTTATGATCACTGACTTACAATAAAACATTTTTGTACCATAGCAAAATTATAAGCAAACCTACTTTTTGTTTAATTTGTTAATTTTGGTCATTTTCTTTGCCCGTTCAAGAAATTACTTAGGCTGATAAGACCTAAATGTAGTAAATAAGACTTAACACAACAGCCTTGTTGGCAAAACAGAACTAGATACGGGCAAATGCAAGATGATTTAGTTAAGCCTGTTTTATCGTGTTCTGTGAAATGAAAAACATTTCGTTTTCCATCATTTATAATTTAAATGAAGTGTAAAGTGATAAAGCAAAGTATTAAAAGAATTCAGGACTGTAGTTAGGGGGGAAGTTGTTCACAAAAATATTTTCTTTTAGCTAAATAACACAAATATAATCTTTTATTACTTTGTTCTGATCTATTCATAAGTCTTGCTGAACTGGAATCTGTATTGACTTACAGTTGAAACAAACAAAAAAAGAGCATTCATTGCTTGTTGAGATCACTAGCCTCTGTCTTCTCAAAGCTGAGTTATAGGAAATTTCCATAATACTATGACAACTGAGGTTGAGAAATACTGATTGGGAAAAATTGATAACATTACAAGATTAAATTGGTGCTATTGTGTTCAAAACTTTTATGAATTTTCTCCTAGGGGCTATGAGTGCCATATTGTGCTAAAAATCACGAAAGTAACAGGAACTAATGAGTGCTAAAAAGAACTCAAAATCAAAATTTGTGATTTTTCTAAATTTTTATGTATACAATTAAATAAATAAGTGTTTTTATTGATTGAATCTCAATTCTGAAATTATTTTTTTCTTTGTGGAAAACTGATTACAAAATTGTTTTGTTTTTAATTAAAAAGTGCAGGTTTACTCTTAAGGTGGGATGCACCCATCTGGGTTTAGTATAGTTAAAGAAGGGTAGTTTTGAGTAACCATTCTCTTAATAAACAGAATAGTTACTTGTAGGAGTAAAGCTCATACTTCACTTATTTAGCTGAATATTAAAGGTATATGGTATTTTTTTATCTCCTTTAATTCTGTTGTTTTCTTCTAGAATCTGTTCATCAGTCAGACCAAAGTACTACAAATACAAACAAAGAAACACTTGAGGATTCATCATCAAAATGTGAAACCATAGATCTTAAGGAGCTCATTGAAGGAAATAATGATGGGGAAGAAGAAGAAGAAGAAGATGTCATGTTTGAGAAGAGAATCAGCTTCTTCATTTTTGATCAAGAAATCAATAATTATAAGGTAAAAATAAAGCAAGTGAAATTTTACTGCTATATTCATTGAAATCTCCGAACATTGTACAAGTCAAATATACCTATGTTAGTCTTATGTTTTTTTGTTTTGTTTTCCCTAAGCTGACTTTGTTACAAGATTTATAGAATATTTTCTAAATCTAAACCATTCTTTAATTTATTATTTTGGTTGCTAGTATGGATTATTTCAAACATTAATTTGTGACAGATGGTTGTTGTTTCTTAAACATATATATGTCATCTTGCATCTAGTAACACATCAAAAATATTAGTACCATCAGGTTCGAGATAGTGTATTTTTTAGTGTTAGTTGGAAGCACTTTAGCAGCTTACACTGCTCTTCAATCAACCTAATTAAATGTAATACATAATACTTTTTAACAAAATCAAAATGCTTATACAATAAATACATCCCAGTAAAAATATTTTAACAAAAATGTAAATGGATTTGTTATTTCAAATCTATAAACACTGTA